TTTTAAAAGCAAAAAAGTATCCTATCTATAATTCTATTAGCCTCTCCAAAATATCGCAATAAATATCGTACCATGAGATACATATCGTGATAATATCATACAGAGAGATTTGAATATTGTTACATCCCAAATTAGTATTAACAGCTTCATATTAGTTTCAAAGTTTTAAAGTATTTCCTATCACTCATAGGAGATGGAAAAATCACACATGCACTGATTATGTGGAGTTTGATTTAAAAAAAACACTAAATGAAAAAGTAAAATGTACCAGAAAACAGGCCTGCTCAAAATTAGTATTCTTGATAAATGTTTTCAGTTACTTCCCAACACTGTCCATAGACGAGGCCTTGAATATGAGAAATGTAAAATATGTTATGTTGTTGTGGAGATAGAGGGGGCATTGATATACAAGACATTGGGATTTACAGATGTTGGTATTTGCTGTATTTTTTTTTACTCTAGACCTTATATTCTATTTCAGCGCTTCAGCTTGTCTCACAGCACAAAGGATCTGTCCATACTTGTCCTCCTGGTTTTCCCTACAATTAAAAACATGTACAGTATAGACTCCCCTCCTGGGCACAGACTCTCCTGAGAATGAGATTCCAAATTTAAAATAATAGTCAAATAACCCTTGGACTCAGAAAGGCAGAAAAGTATTATGCATATGGTGGACAATGTGGCAAAGTCGAGCAGATACAGTATTTAGATGATGCTTGACCCTCTTTATTTAGGGATTTTGTTGGGCAGACATCTTTATAAATTAATAAAAAATTGACTCCAGCAATTTTAGCCTTTGCGAGGAAAGAACAAACAAATATTATGCATTTGCTAAATCTCTGACAATATTATTTCCCCAAATGAGCTGATTTTCTGTCATATGAATCCTTGTTTTTTCTTCAAGCCCACTGTAGTTGTGAGTATGGTACGGTGGGTGGACAAAGGCTGTTTTGGGTGACTTGAGTGGTGCCCTGGTTGGCCTTGGCAACATAGAAGCGCAGTGCCAGTCTGACACCATGCCAGTCCCCCAGAGCAGCTGCCAGGCCAGAGCAGCAGGCACTAATTCAGCCAACCACAGGGAGCCCCGTCCCGCCCCCGAGGTCCACCCTGTGGCTGCAGCACCCCTCATCTGCACACGCGCTCCTACAAAACACGCTTTCATTAGGACTAACTTGCCAGGAGCTAATCTGCCATCTTTTCAATCACACAGAGAGAGGCCAGTGCCAACATTTTAATAACTAATTATCACATATCCTGAAGAGTAAACAGCTTTTCATTTTCTCTTATTCTATTGAGGCAAATCTCTCTTTATAGCTGAGGATATATTAGAGCATTTTGAAAACACATTAACATCATTATGAGCACATTTCTATGAACAGAACAAGAATGGAGGTTTTTATTGTTTGTTTTCTTGTTTTCAGCCAACATCTAAATAATCTATATGCCTCTATATTATATAATGGGGATGGGGGCAGGTCATTTTAATATTGGGAAATTTGCAATTTGCAAATTTGTGTTTTAATATAGGGTTTTGTCATTTATTCATGGGTTTCAGCTTCCTAAATGCCATTTTGTGCACCTTTTACCATTAAAAAAATTTTATACTTTGTTTTAAATTGGTTAAGTGCTATACCAACAGTTCTAATTGTTCAACACTCTTAAACTCCTGCATACACATAATCAAGTTCAAAATGTGTTGTCCCCCCATCTGGGAATATGACATCATTACATCCTAGAATTGAATAGTCACAAATAAAAGTGAAATTCTTGCCAATACCAATAGTAGTAGTCTAGTTTGTAGCACTACAACCATATGCTTTTTATTATCTGACTGATGCTGTTACACAATGTATTCCAATTGCGTAACGTGGATGATTGACATTGTGTTTAATCTTCCAGCTTTTGGCATTTGACAACCCACTGGACACTTCACCTGCCCCACTAGTGCACTGCCTCCTCATCCAATCCAGCTGAAGGTCAGTGTTTGGGGGCTGCTTCCTTTAGAGACCCCTGCCTGATCCCTGCGCTCCTTGGCTCTTTGGGTAAACAACATGGCACAGCTCTATAAAGTCCCATATTGTTTTCCTTGCATCTGTTGATGTGTGTGTAAGCAAATGTGAGCGGCACACTTCCTGGCTATGGTTTCCTGCTCATATAAACTGCCCGCTAGTTAGGATAGCTGAAATATTGATGGTATGTTTTGTTCTAATTTTCAAAAAAAAAAAAAAAAAAAAAAAAGGCCATCTGGACAGGTCAGGCGTTCTCATGTGAAATATTTATCCTGTGCACTGAATATGACCAAGGGAGAGCGTAAGAGGGCCATTTTGTAACGTGAGAGAAGGCGAAAGGGGGGTCGTCAGAGGGGCTTGTGCTGGATTTAACAATAGCTTTTTCCTAACAGATGGAAGATTGGCTGCTTCGCCTATATGCACCAGTTCAGCGTAGCAGCCGAACCTGATATCTGATTGTACACTATCTCTCACCCCATAGATAGAGAGGGATTACACGCGCTCACATCAATAATGAAATTGAGATTATTTTGTTGACATGCTTCTAATTTGTTGTGTTACAGTGGTGAATGCTGTCCGTCATTGCCAATCGGCCTGTTGTATAATACTACTCAGGTAAGGCCGGCCTATCAGTTTCCATCAACACGCCAATCAAACAGTTCAAGCCAACTTTGCCACCTTAAGCCACTCTAGTAATTAGCATTCAGTGTCCATGGAGCGGTCACATGTAAAAAAGTACAACGGGGCACAAGCTTAATCATCTTACAAACAACATGCATAAAAACAAACCACTAATCAGAGCTTGAGGCTTTCCCCTGATCTCAGCATTCAAAGTGAAATGGACCGCAATCCTGCATGTGCACTTAGTCAGCAAGCCTGACAATCAATTTTAATGATGTGTTTATAGGACAAACCAGCTAACAGCACGCCCATCCTAGCCAGCTCCCATTCAAACAGGTAGCTTTTGGCTAAATTATCCCTCTGCTTTTTAATAATTAAGACAGGCTTATTAATTATGAACAGATCTGTAGCCTAACACTCGTCAAAGAGGGACTATGGTTGCCTAGGAGCGCTGACCTATTCTGAATACCTTGTCGCCCGGTGTTGTCGGTAACTGGAGAGGCTGTGTAGTGTATGGCGGAAAGTAAATAAGGTGGAGGGGCAGGAGGACACAATGCTTTTGTTTTGGGTGCTGTCACAAGGGTGCCACAAGCCCAACTGATCAATAATGCAAGTCTGGCACGTGTCTAGGAGGCCCTGTTGCACCACGCTACTACTACTGTCTTGTGGCCAGTGAATGTACAGTTTAATTTTGAATAATAATGGTATATACTGCAAAACTCAAACTCTGGTCTGACTATTCAAGTAGACCGAGTTTGCAGCCATAAAAATGTAGATCATTGCATAACAGGCCTGTTGATTTGAGCTGATACTACAAGGATATTTGTTTTTGTATCTCTTCCCTGTCCTTTCCTGCCACATCTTCACTGCCCAAATGCACTCAAAGACCAAACAATAATAGATTAAAAAAGAGATCTTATCACTATTGTACTTGCATAGTTTGCCAGCCACTAACCACTTTTGTTGATTCTCTGCAAACTATTTTAATGACAACTACTGAAAACAGGAGATTCTCAGTTTTCCACTGGTCAGTCAAAACAATCAGCTGTGAAAAACTTGATTCATTACACACTGGAGCCTCCATTTTGGGATGCAAAGTCAACACAGCTGGACATCCTAAAGTTTGTGTTTATGTCTGTGCACTACCTTTCCGACTTCTGTCCAAAAATAACCTGCTGCTTCCTGCGCTGATGCTAAAGGTGCAGTCATCTTTCCCTGTGAAGGACACATGGATGTCTGAAGTTTGGGAGCGGGGAAAAGGGGGGAGCAGGAGAGGAAGCAGTGACTACCGTGTGACAAGCGCCCTGTTCCTTCCTCCTGAGCATGAGAAACAGGAAGTGCTGCACATAAGGCATTATTGTGACGGAGAGGAAATGCAAGGTCCTCTAAATTAAGAGCCCCAATCTGGTTGTCAATGACAGTGGCCTGTCCTCCAAGGCCCCACACATCACGGCCTCACATGTTGACGGACACACAAGGAGATAGGAGACTTTCTGATGCGTTCTTCTGTATTCCTCACTTTTTATTCATTGGCAAAAATAAAATCACATCAGGACAGTGGTTCATATAGCCATAGGGACACTGACTAGTGACTTTAAATGCCTCTTTTTGAGAATGTGACTGATTCATTCAATTTTTTTAAGTAGACATTTTGCATAGAGGGCAGGCAGGGTAGAGCCCGTAGGTAGATTAGAGCCACTTGTGTGTAGCAGAAGCTGGGGAGGAGCTGGTTGCCAAGAGAAATGACTTTGTTCTGGGCCACCTCCCAGTTAATTAAAATCCTTCTTTATCTGCTCATGCTTTCAATTAGAAGACCCTGGATGTGGTCCAAGCCTCTGCATGCAGATAACCATGGCAATAAGATGTGATTTATACTGGGCCCATTGGCACCCTGGGCCACAGCAGTGCCCTGCTGCTAGGCCCAGCACCAGCTCTGGTGGAGAGGCACCCTCCTCTGCTATAATGTGTGTGGCACCTCCAGATGTAAATGATGTGATTAAGATGAGCTCTGTAGGACAGGGCAGGTGCAGGCCACCTGTGATCACGCACACCACAGAGAACTGCAGGAACTGTTTTTGGTCAGCTGTAATCAACAGAAATGTTCCTGCTCAATTAACAACAGATCCATCAGTGTCTGCCTCTGCTTTTCCCCAATAATGGAGAGCAACAAAGAAGCAGGCTGTACGCACATCAATCATGCCAGGCCCTAATGGACGGGTGCTATTGTTCGGGTGTGGTTCGTGTTCTACCAGTGGTAGATGTGTTTGCACCCCACGATGGTATATTAAGATAAATTAGCAGAACACATAATGATGGTGTCATGTATTACATTTCAATAAATTATTTAAAATTCTATTCAATGAAACAAGATTGAACACAAGCAAATTCGGCGCTTTATTGGCAGCATGGCAGTAACCATAATCAATAAATGTAAAACACATCCAATGCCAAAACATTAAACCATGAACTTAACTATAAAATAAACATACTTTAAACTCCAGAAATATTGTCAAGCCATTGTACATGGTAGACTAATATTTACTGCCATCTAGTGGTTACACTATACAAGCACAAACTAAAACAATCCAACAAAGGTAATACTGTGTAATACAATGAAAACTTTTAATTTTTGAAGGACCTGAACAACTGGCTAAGAGACTTAGGGGCCACAGTAGCTTCTTTAAGTCCCTTCTCACTGTCACCAGAAGCCGACTCTGGTGTGCTCTGTCCAAGGCTCTGAGCTGTGGGTATGTGGAGGAAAGAGCCCCGTCCAATACCAGGCAGGACTGGAAGAGGAGACTTGTCATTGTTGTATTTTGTGTAGTTGAGTCCTCTCCCAGCACTCAGTCTGCCCTGGGCTGAAGAAGTATTCATGCTCTCAGGTTCAGAGAGCTCTTCGTGTGTTTGTTGTTGCTTTTCTTCAGTTTTCTTCTTCAACACTCTGGGGTTAAAACGATCAAGCAGACCCTGCTCTGTCACTGGGAACTGTTCAGCTGCCCACTCCTGACGGTCACAGTGCATTTGCTCCAACTGTCTGAGCTCCTTAGGCAGCTCCAAAACACTTTCCTAATAAGCAATCAGGAAATGGGTTTAAGTGAGCCAGGACACCATAGACAGGCCATTTTATCAAAATGATACATTTTTCAATTCACAACTACACACCATACTGAGATGTTCCAATTCATCAGGCTGGAAGTGGCTACTTTTGAGACATGAATCCACCAGGAGCATGTAGTCTGTCATGAGCGTGTCTAGCAGCACTAGGCGCAAAGGCTGCAGGTGGATCACAGACAGAGCCATGATCTTGAGCAAGGGCAGAGGGCACGGCCGCTTGTACCACATCTCCTTCTCCTGACACACACAAAAATTTGCAGATGTCACATGTGGAAACGTAAAACGTAAACGTAAAAGCTTAAATTAACTCATGTTAGGCTTGAGCTTGGTACCTGTGTGAGCTGAGACTTCATTTGCAATGATAGAAGCTGTGATGTAGGCACCTTCAGATGTAGATTGATCACCTCCTGAAGAGTGCTTACTCTGTTTGGAAGCAAGCCACCTGTCTCGGAGTAGAAGCACATCACATCTGCGACCTTATGGGACATGAAGACAGACTCAACTACTTCATTTCAACTCAAGACCAGCTTGGTTTTGAAGAAAATGTAATCTTTTCACCTGAGTGTCAAAAACGTTGGTGAGATTTACTCCAAACTGAGTAGACAAACATCCTGCAATAGCTCTGCAGTCGTGAATAACCTGTATTCAACAATGACAAAAACAAAATGTTATTGAAATACAGCTTCTCACACAATGCTTTTAATTCTCACCTTTAAAATATGTTGACTCTGTAAGATCATAGAGAGACCATTTTTAAATGCACGAGCCCCCAGCAGCAGGATATCGAAAAGGTACACCTTGTGTTTTGTAGCAATCTGAATATTAAAACCATTTTCTTTGTTAGTGACTTTTGACTGTAAAAACTGGATCTGCATCTTACCTGAAGCCAGCACAGTCTCCCATGCTTGTATAATTCAACTCCAACCACTCCTACTCCAATTACTTTTTGCTTTTTGATGTGCATCACCTAAAAAATACAGTGCATTGCATATGAAATTGTCCTTATTAAAGGAATCTATAACTTTCATAAACTTACAGCTGGTCCAAACCTTTCATGAAACTCATCAATGACAATGAAGTTAATGTATTCCCCGTCATTATCATCATCTTCATCTGTAAATACATCATTAGACATAGCACACAATAGAGCTTATAAAAAGTATGATATGCACACCTAGTCTGACAGCTCTCCTGTAAGGCTGGAACTTTTCCACTGTCAATTGGCCCTCAGGAGTCTTCCTCCCAAGATTTCTTGTATTCACCAACCACAACACAAAGAGTTACAAACACGTATTGGACAGTGATTTTAGGTGACAGCCTTGACTCACCTACTGGCATTATCTTCTTCATGGGAGAATTCCACTTATATTGATGATATAAGAGACAGTTATAGAAGACATAATTTAGACATAAACATTTACACTAGCATGACATTAAATTCTTACCATTGACAATGTCATGGCCGAAGAACATTTTAGAACCTGGATATCTGCATCCATTATTGGCCCCAACAACTAAAATGAGCAAAGTAATGAACATGAATATGATGTTTAGTGTTTAAAGGTACAGGAAAAACAGTCCCACCGTCAGCCAAAACGATGGTTTTGTTGGAGTTGATGCGCTGGACAATGCCAAGGTAAGATCCATTTTTCAGGGTAAGTTTGATGCGCTTTCCTTTAAGAATACTGAGAAACTGAATGTCATCTACCACCATTTTGACATAGTGTAAAGTGCGTAAAGGTAAGGGGTAAAACAAAACAAAAAAGTGATTTTACTAGAACTTCAATCTTTCGCTAGTTAGCTAACATAAATATCCACGTGAGCTTGTGAGCGCCACAGTATGATCGAGCAACAGCGACGCCACGTGGTAACGCGAGGTGTTACAAGTGAAGCACTATCATGAAGTTATTCTAAAATGATGATGTTCTCATTCAGTATATTAATGATATATATATCAGTATAAGAATTTTAATTATATATATCAGCATAATAATTTCTCTTTAAAGTCGCTTAGTATATAATTTGTTACAATGTTTTATATGCTAGTCTGTCTGTAGGCTGTGATTTTATAACAGGCCTCTGTGCAAACCCTGAACCACAAGAGGGCACTGCTTGCCTGACCAGCCTGTCCCATGGCCTCCAATACTGTGGTCTATTTATGGTCCACTGTAGGTCTTCTGTAGTTATTTATATATTGTTTATTCATATGTTGTTGTTTTTTTTAACTCTCTATTAGATGATTTCTATTTATGTGGGTATTGATTTTCAAGTTGTCATATCTTTATATATATAAGGTATGCTTTTTATATCTTAAGTGGACTAAAGCCCTGTGTTGTGTTGTCCTCTCCTCCATCACTAGTAGTCTGCTAAATGATTTCTTTGATGTTGTGTAGGAACCTTCCACTGTGACAGCTCCATAAACCATTGTGGAACCATGCAGCCCTGTTATCTGTAGAGGAAGGTGCGCCCTTTTCCTGTTATGTATCCTGAACAAACTTCGCAGATGAATCATTGCCAGCTACAGATCCAGTTTACTAAGAATGATGTAAAAATAAAAAAGAAAAGAAAATCAAAGAAATGCGTTTTGAATAATTTTAGTTTACAGAAAATTATGATGACCTGATCCGTAGCCTAAATCATAAACTGAGACTGAAATCAAATCATCAAAGTCCATAAAGCGCTTTGCTCCGGTTATTTAAAAGCCTGTAGCTCAGTGTAGTGTGAGTGACGAGCCCTGCACCTCGGCCGCCCACTCTCACGCGCACTGAGGCTGTGCTGAATGTAAATAGTGTAACGCGCACTGACGAGTCAGCACAAAGCAGCGGAGAGCGCGCCGGGAGCAGCGCACACAGCGATGAAATGCTCCCAGGGAAAAGGACGCAAATGGACAGCCTCGTTCAGCCGCTTGTCGCCCAGTACCTCGCCATGGGATGTCAGGCAAAAGAGAACAACCCGAACCAAAATATAACAACTGAGGGCAAAGATGACACGTAAGTACAAGTGTTTTTACAAGGCATTTTAAAGTTTACACCGCTGATAGTTTGGCAGAATTCTCCTCACCAGAATGGAAAGCAATGGAAAAGCGCGTTAACATTTAGAAATGCTTTCTGAGCAACAGGTTGTAAAGGCTCTTGTTTACTCGTCATTCAACACTTTGAACTGGAAGTCCGCAATCAACTGGTATTTCCCTAAAATAAAGGAAGGAAACCAGAACAATGAATAGCCAAATACCACTGAGGGGTGGTCTTGTGTTTCCACAATAGAGAAGACATACCTACCATGCAACTTAGCTTATCAAGTTTATAAACTAAAACCATTTTTGAGGAAAAAGCAGAACAATCATTGTACAGCCATAGCTTCTTTTCATTCTGGTCTTTTGTGTTGCTGTCTCTCCAGGAAAGTGGCTCCGGGATGTGGGTCCAAATCTAGAGTTTCTCCTCCGGGAAGAACTCACCGCTTCCACAGGCACACTCCGACTCAGAACGCTCCCAGCAAACCCAACATGCCTCTGGGCCACCTCACCAAGGGGGCCAGCTGGGACGAGATCATCCAGGCCTGTCTGCAGTCCTTTGGTGAGTCCATATCTAGTATATCGTTTTATTTGTGGGTGTGCTTACATTGTTCTGATGTGGATAGCTCAAGGCTGATTATACAAGTATTTTATGTGCATAGACTTGTTTTGCACAGACAACAGACAGCATCCAGTACCTCAGTGTCCATGAGCTGCTAACATGCATTGATTTTACATTATGTGTTGTACCAAACCCACCTTGATTAATGAGACTGAAGACTGATCAATCAGAGCAAAGATCGCTGGCTTCATCAAGTTGTCTGGAGAGCTCTTAGACTTATGCTGATTGAAGAAGAGACAACCTTTCAAATAGTTGTTGCCTGGTTACACAAATGGAGCGGGAGCAATACACAGAGCGATTACAATGGGTAGCACATAAAATGACATCCAGTAAGTGCGTTCGTCAGAAGATGGAAGCTTGGGCTAGTTTTATATTCACTTTGGTGCATGTGTGGAAAATATGTGTACAAATGACTGCATATGAGAGATCAGAATTTACACAGGATACTTGTGGTGGCACAGGAGTTCAAATTTAGCAACTGTGTGTGGTTTTTTGCCTCCATTTTGGCCAGTTCATTCATTGTTTTGTCTTGATTAGGCTTGATTGGTCCAAAGTCTGTTTAGCTCTTAGAGATATTACTGCTTTGCCTGAAATGTTCCAGTGGTGTTTGGCATTAAGTTATTTACTCATTAATATGTTTTATGGCTCAATACCTTGAAAAACATGCACTGTGAGCTTGCCTTTCCACAGCTCTGATCTTGGCCTGGTGTTGCCACTTTTTTGTCTCTTTGAAGGTAGATATGTTTAATGCTCTGCTGTGGTGGACCCTTTATCAGAAAAGTTAAACAGTTCACCTTTAAGTTCCTGCCTTATTCATTTCTCTGCCAGTTATAAATTAAAAGAACTGGTTTACCCCATAGTTAAACAATTATTTTGTGCTGGCGGAGTCTGACTTAGAACCTGTTTGGCAGACTCTTAATAACGCCCATTGAAAATCCATTAGAGTCTCTGCAGCACAATATATTAGTGATGTCTATTAGCCTACATCACAAGGTCCCCCAGCACCTTTCCAAATGTGAGTGTGCGCGTAAGAGCTGTTTGAAGGATTAACTGGTTGTAGCTTAAAGCCCGTCCGCACCCAAAGGTCAGCTCCCTGAACACGGGTGCTCAGATGCTGCCTGGCCCTTTGAATTGTGGAGAGCTACGAGGTGTGGATCAATTGGCACTGACATCATCACTCTCTCCACACCACAGTTTTGTATTACACAGCAGCCCCAAAGAGGTTCCCTGTTTCAGTCTGCGGACAGTTATTTTATTTATTTTACAAGAAATGATATGCACAACAAGAAAGGAGAAGATATGAGGTGGATTATCTGAAGATTTGAGAGTAAATCTTATGTTTAATCTCCCTTTTATCTAGCACTTTTCACATGTTTTTGCATAAACTCACCAAGAATTTCTTTAGTCTACTTCTTTAGCACTAGAAATTTTTGTGCAGATTTATTTCGAAATTGATCAAATATTTGTCATTATGTTTACATTCACATTATAACTGAATTGTTGGTGGGTGAGAGAAGTAGAGAATACATTGACTGATTGATTATGAGGTGTTTTCATTTGTTTTCAGTGACTATATTAAATTAACATGTGTAGAAAGAAAAAAATCTGGTTTATTTAATTCTGCATTTAATATGTAACTTGATGCATACTGTTATGTAAAAAAAAAAAAAAAAAAATTCCCTCAGTTGGCACATTTGCATTTTGGGGTTTTGCAAGGTGTAAAAAGTGTTTCTTTGACTCCTACATGTTTGGAAACAAATGCCAGGCTTGCTAGTAGTTTTTCTCTAGCCTTTAACCCATTTAGCAACTATATAAGACTTGAAATGAGACGAGAATAGTTGAGGAAGTGTTCTATTTATATAATACAGTAGATCCAAAATGGCCGGTGGGGACTCCAAAGCATGGTCTCTGTTCCAAGACCCTTATGAATTAACCTTTTATTCCTTGTGTTTAAATTTTACAGCTAATTAATTTACATAATATTAATGCTTTTCCTGCCTATTTCCACTCTCCTAATTGACCAGGGAGCACTGTATATTTGTATTTGTAAAGTAACAAACATGACCCATGCGCCGACTGATGCACGCAGAAGATGAATTAAAGATAATAGTGTTTGTTATTGTTGGGATATTGTACTACAAATTATCCCTTATTTTGTAGCCAGTGGCAATGTGTGGACAGGGGATTTCCTTCTGTAATTACCTCCGTGCAGGCAGCGTTTGTGGTTTGAGAATTGTGAAAAATACGATTGAGCAACTGTTCACCTGACTTAGACATCGTATCCTGCTTGCATTGGCCTCGGGTTGTTGTTTGGTAGTTGGTGATGAGCCTGTTATGACCTGAATTATTATTAGGTTGGATGAGCCTCATAGAACAGCTGTTTGATTTTCAACTTTTTTACTTTTGTTTGTGACTCAGCAAGGTGAAGTCAGAGGTAAAATTAGGGTAGGTGCCAGTTGTTGTATTGCACACTCCCAAAATATAAAGTTGTGAAACTGTATGAGTAAATTGTCTGGGAACTTTTGTGAGTACATTTTAAACCTGTACTTGAGTATAATTCTAGCCCAGTAAATGTAATTAGCTGCATTTAAAATTATAGCAGTACAATTTAAGTCCTAGTCATCACAGTCCATGATTGTTTCTGTATCAGCTCCTCTCTGTAGCAACAAACACACCATAGTGCATCGCCTTTGCTGAAAATTATAGTTCAAACATGGGTACTTTATACTTTTACTTAAGTACAAATTTGATGTAGTACTTGTACTTATACCTGTTATTGAGTGTTAGCCATGTTGAGTACAGCTTTCCAGTATTCTTCCTAGGGGTGTAGGCTTAGTCGACTAATCATTTTATTTAGATGACAACAAGACAACAACTCAGCAAGTGAATGAGTTATATGAAGATTTGGTATTTTTGAGTATTTATATGTAAAAAGTAAGATTAAACTCATAAGAAATCTATTATTTTCTATTAATCTCCTTTGTTTTCCTAGTACATCTGCATAAATAGTTGTTTTGTATGCATAAATGCTTTATTACCATTGTACATTTATTATTTTGATGCCTACCTTTGTACACTAATAAATGGATAATGGCTTATGTTTTATAGGTATCTGACTGTACCTCATCTAAGACTTGCTGTGGCACTTAAATATACTCAATTTCTTGTGACTGCTAAACGTAGTAGCTCACTGGCATTTTTGTTTTATAAAGGTAGCCCACCAAAGGAAAAAGTCTGGAGACCCCTGCTGTACATAGAGATACTTTGGAGAGCTTTTGCCACGCCCTCTTTTTAGACATATCTTTAGTTAACCAAGAGTTTCTTTAGTCAACAACTGTGCTAATTCTTTTCTTCCTTATGCTGGTCTCAAGCGTGTATAAAACGAAAGTAGACTGTCATTATGTTAATCAAGTCAGGTTTGTGGGTTTCTTTATCTGGGTCTCAGCATTCATCAGCCTTCTGTACTTAAGCCCACAATAGTAAAGCAAACTGTTACTGGTCTGATCTTATCATTTATGGTAAATATCACTTTAAATGACAAGCAGCTTCCTAGTGTTGTCACAATGCTCAATTTTACGTCAGTACCCAGTTGATACCACAATGATAATGACACTTTTATGGATTATACAACAAAAGAAAAGTTTTCCATTTTCATATAGTGTTATTAATGTATTACAATTACTAGTTTACATATAGAAATAGGTACTTGCCCTGTGTAACTGTTTCTGGTACTTAGTTGTTAACTTACACAATAGCAGATAAGTGATTACAAAATTGGGTCAATTTTCTGTATATGTTTTAAAGGAAGAAATATCTACTTTCCGTCGATGCCGTAGCAAATTCTAAGAATGGGATTGAATCTGAAAAAGCTGCAGAGGTGCATTGTTTGTTTACCATCTCCCTTGTTTAAGATTGATGCAGTTGGCTTCATTAGCAGCTAACATTTGTATTTGTTGCTCTATTTATTTTACTCTGTGTATTGACTAAAACAGGTGAGGTCACATATGTTGGTAGGTTTAGGTGTCAGTGATTTAGTAACACGCCCTGTTCGCAGTATACAAATGCTGGATTAGTCAGTGGCGGCTAAAGTGGCCAGTTGCTTACAGATAACAGAGATTAAAGAGAGAGAAAAAACATGTTGGCATGGAGCTGAGATATTTCCAAGGTGATGTGGTTTAAAAGTGGCCCCCGCACACAAGCGTTTAATGTCCTTGATGGTGGGAGAGAGCTGCATGAAGCCTCGGAGAGAACAGCTCGCAATGTTCAAATCGCAGCATTCATTTTCAGTCATAAACCTTGGAATTATGGAGCGAATAAAGGCTTTCCGTAATTTAAATTTAACACATTGTTTGCATTGTTGTAGGTGCAGTAGTTCTTCTGAAAAATATCTTGTTAAGATTTGATGGTTTTAACATCACATTTACTGCTGCCACTATACAAAAATTTAAGGAATAAGCTTGATACTCAATACCAATTTTGATAACACAATAAACAACACTACTTTCTTTGTTCTTTTGTTCTGATAAAGATCAAGATCATTCTAGTGTTCAGGAAAACTCAAATGGGGTTCTTGTGTTTTTAGTATTGATTCTTCAAATGAATATCTACTTTTGACACCAGTTAATACCAGCTGCTTTATTGATAAAAATGAATATCTCATTGTTGTATTTTATTTATTTATTTATTTATTTATTGCATTATCTTGAGCACAATGTTCAGCCAATATTTTAACAATGCATCATGAATGTGCTTGCCTGGGATCCAGAAGATGTGAATCTGGTCACTGATGAAGCTCCCCATTTTCAGATGGGCATGATTGACAGGTGGATTAGCCAATCATGCATGCATTGTCTGTCCCTATAGGAAATAAAAAATAAAATTTAAATAAAAAAACAAATGAAAGAAATATCACAGGGTTCTAAAAAACTTAATCAATGAACAAAACCCTACGCTAATCTGAAGTGAGAGAAGTGTGATTTTATTTGTAAATGATAGGTGACGAATGAGCTCTTTCGTTTCAAATGCGTTACTGAAAAATAGCTAATCTGACTGCACGATCAAGTTTGGCTGGGCTTAAGATGCAGCTGAGGGTGTGGGGAGCACACTGATATCAATCTGTAGCTGTAAAAAATACAGAGAGATGTCATTTTGGATTTTCCAGGCAAGGAATGTGCTAATGTGTGCTTGAAAATGTCTTGGTTGAGGTTCAAGTCTAACTCAGAACTTGAATGGACCATAAAATGAACCACAAAAGGGCAGAAATATCATTGTATTCTCTATATGTTCACTCCAAAAGAACAATATACAAATTCATCCATGTGTTGGTTTAGTTGCTTGGTATATGCCTAAAAAAAGCAAAAATGCAAAGCCACTTTAATGAGTAAATCTGATAGTATTCATGTATATTGTGCAATTTATACACAACACATACTTACAAGCTTCATGTTTAACTTCAAAGTCCAATAAAGAATTATTATTATTGTTGATGGAAATGTCCGCAACACTTTACTGTATTTTTGTTTTGAGATCTGCTTCTATTTTGGTAGTGGTGGAACTGAAAGTGGAAGTGAAGTACAAATTTGGATTTAAAGTATAAAGTATGCATGAAAAACACAACTTGAAGTACTGGTGTATTTTTACACAGCTTGTATTTATTATTATTATTATTATTATTATTATTATTATTATTATTATTATTATTATTATTTTATTTATTTATTTTATTTATTTTATTTTTTTTTTACAAAACTTTATAAGCGATTTTAAACTGCAATCCACATGATTAGTTTGTAAGTTTTAAAAGAGCAGAGACAGCAGTGAGACAGTACAATTACTCCAAAATCTACTTTATTACAGTAACTTCAGTATTTTTAATTAGTTCCTTCCACTCCTTTAGTGTTACTGGTAAAGGTTGACCCATTGTTGCTGTTAATACTTAAGTTAATACACATATGCGGTTTGCTGTTTATTGTTTCCTGACTTCTGCAGTGTTCACGTCACGCAGCTATGGGACTGTGTTTGTGCAATATCATTTATCTAAAATGTTATGTTTATTTGCCAACACTGACAGGTCTGGCATTTGCGAGTTTACATTGTGATTTGGGACTGTAGAGGCTAAAGGTGGTCAAGGTCATACAGACTAAGGAAGCGAGCAGTACACAAGGAAAAGGAAGTGACAAGTGCAGTGAGAAAAGCCTGCCGCACTGGTTCACACACAGACACATTTAAACATGAGGTTAGAGAGCCCATTGGTTTCTCCATACAGGTATTGTCTGATCTATGTTATAATGTTGTTTCCTCATCACAAACAAACCTGGAGTTGTGTTTTGTTAACACACAAACCCTGCATACTTAGAGTTGAACTTGAAAACTACCGCTTTGTGACGACACAAAGAGGAAAGGAGAGCATTTTGTGCTTGAAAAACATGGACAGCCTAATAGTAAAAAGGTTCAAGATTACTCAAATATGTGCGAATAAAGCTCACAAGAGTAAATTTTGCGTAATATAGGACCTTTTTGTCACTGCCTGACAGTGACATTTTTCCAGTTCCTTGTATATTACATATACAGGAAGCAATTAGGATGGGATTGTCAGGCAACCTTTAACTACCATTATTGTAGTTTGTTCCATTTGAACGGCCAGTACAGCATTAACAAAGAGCTTTTCATTTCTGCTTCTCAAACTAATCTCATAAATAATAGAAGAAAGATTGTCTGCTATTAAGACAGTTAGTCGCACCAATCCCACCTGTTCATCAGAATAGCACTGCATAAATGACAATAATGAGACAAAATGTACTAGCAGTAGCATGTTTATTGCATCCACTTGACAGTCACAATTCACAAGAACAAGTACAGTTGCAAGGATTTGATTGACAGACCCAATACAGCAGATTTTTAATGTTGCCAACAAGACGGGGGAGAAAAAACAACAACTCTTAACTGCAAAGTATTGTGATTCTAATTTGATTGGTGATGTACTTACTGTATTCAAGTTTCAGCTCTGTGCATATTCTTAACACATGAAGATTTAAAAATACACTATATACTAGGTGTGTAACGATATCCAAGTCTCATGATACAATATTGTCATGGTCTGAACCTCACAGTACGATATTTATTGCGATATCGTGGGAATGCTCACGATATGGTGGGGAGCCTCGCGATTAGGGATGTAACAATATCCAAATCTTGGTACAATATTTTCACAATATACATCTCACAGTACAATATTTTTTTTGCAATATTTTGTGGAGGCTAACGAAACTCTGAATATGCTACTTTTTCCTCTTAAAATTCCTTAACAAGACTTAATCCAAAGTACTAAGACTTAAAAAGTGCTTAGAACTGTTATATCGTCATGTAGTCTACACTGAAATGGAGCAAAGGATCATGGTCTATGTAGTTCCCTCTGCCTTTTTTAGCTATTGCTGCACCATAACTATTCAAATTAAGCAAAGAGACTTCATTCGATATATTGTGATGGTCCATGATATTATTGAGAAAACTTTGACGATACGATATCATGATATTTCGGTTATTGTTACATCCCTACTATATACATTTTCTGGTGGTTACACATTTCCATACTGTCTTAAGTCAGGTCTGTGGAGGGGTGATCCTGCTCATATAAGAATGTATTTTTCTGACAGTAGTAGAAGTACTCAATTACCGTATGTTATTTAAGTAAAAAATACAGATCCTAGAGTAAAGAAATATCAAAGTAAAAGTATCAAATGAAAAAATCTGCTTGAATAAAATGATGAAAGTACCTGTTTAAAAATGTACCAAAAGAGTATTTCTTGCAGATTTTGAAGTCTAATAAAGCTTCAAATGTACTGATTTTGGTAAAGATTTGTTCAACAGAAACAACTGAATCAATAGTTTTTCGTAGCTGTTTCAATGTGGACGTTTTTGTTTGCTGTAATTATGAATCAGCAGGTCTCAGACAATAATAAAAATTACTTTTACTTTTATTTTTCAGTCCAGCTTAACAGTGTAGTGGAGTAGAAAGTACAGAAACTTGCTCTCAAATGTAGTGAAGAAAAAGTAACAAGTATCCACTTAAATACCTAACACATAAATACAGTACTTTACTACTTTTACTTCATTATGTTCCACCACTAGTTTCTGATTATATTTTGGAGTGTCCCTAGTTGAGTAGGTCTGTGTTAGTTAAGATCGTAATGTGGAACTTTCCAGACAAAGCATTGACATCCCCATGGTGTACCTCCCGAGAAAATTTAAATATGAAGTGATATACTAATCCAAGAATCCATTTAGAACGCATTGGTGAGGTCTGTTCTGCTGAGGTTACCGTTTTCCCCCCATAAAAAGACAGAGTATTTTGTTGTTTGCTGCTGGGAACATTATGCTACCTCAATAATTGCTACCTTTGCAGTTTGATAATTGAGACCATTTAACTTGCAATTTTGATCTTTGATTGCGATTAATTGTGCAACCCTACCCCCAACCAGGTCATAAAAAGTAATGGCTTCTATGTAATAATCCTCAAAGTAATACATTTCCAGCGTGTACTAGCTGAAACAGGTATCTCTCCACTTAATACTGTGTTCAGGATTGTTTTTGCTTTGACAATAAAGTTTTAATAACTCCACTAAAAGGAAGCCGGGTATTTGCCAGCGTTGGTTTGTTTTTTCTAAGTGAATAACACAAAATCATGATCAGATTTTTATTAAATGTTCAGAAAAGGTCAATAACTGGCCAAGGAAGAAGTTATTAGTTTGTTGTGTGAATCTCCAGGAGAAAAACTGACGTATTTTTGTCCCCAAATAAAACCTGTAATTCACTGTATTATTTATTACAATTTGGGGTGTCGATTTTGATACTACAGAATATTTGTGTTTATATATTTATTTTGGGCAAGTAGAGATTTACATTCGTATACATTGGAACAGAAAACATAAGTGAATTCATAATTGAAATAAAAATAACCACAACAAAAAATTTCCCCAAACGGGAGTGGGAACAAGAAAACTTATTTAATCCCACCCCCACTCTTTTAATCTAACACAATGAGCTATCTTTTCAGACATTTTGCATTAAACTGTATGAACTATTTACAAGTGCGGATAACAAGTAACTGTTATAACTTGGCAGTATAACAAAAGCACACCAATAATGGTAAGGTTAAGAATAAAGACAATGGTAACAGACAACAGATACCAATTCTGGTGCAGGTATTTATTTTTTAAAAAACATTTTTATTTAGACAATAGAATGTGATTTTCAGCATTGAATTGTAGTACTTTCTTTTTCTTTTGTGGTCAAGATCATTCTAAAGCTATTCAGGACAGATTCATTTCTGTCCTTTGTATCACTACTTGCTCACGTGAGTATCTAGTTTCAATAATAGTTTCAGTATCAATCAATATCTGATTTTCGATACTGTTGATGGATAGGGGACTAGAATTAGTGTTAATGGCTAAACACTGGGGGTGTACACTGCCTTGAGTCTGATGATGTCACGATTCAACATATCCCGATATATCCCAATACTAAAACACAGGACGATATACTGTGATTTATCAAGAGTTACTTCTATTAATACAGTCGACTGCACCTTAATTTATAAAAATGTTTAAATCATCAGAACAGTGAATGAAATAATGAATTTTTCTGAAAAATATTATTTAAAAAAATGTTTGGGATGCAATTTCGATTCGAGAATTGTGTCAATCTATCACTGAATCGATTTTTTCTTACACTCCTACTAAACATATGTATTATCTATCACTTTTGGTGGGTTTTAATACTACAATCTAACATCAAATTGAGACAGTTTAATATGAAGAAGAAGAATGTTGTGTTGTCTCTAACTTGAACCTTGTTGTTAAAGTTGTGAATACAGATTGCAGCCCGTCTTCATTTCTCAGCACTGTGAATGATCTCTCCATATTTGTTCTTTTCAGATTCAAACGGCTGCCTTACTGGGAGCAGCCATCTGTTGAACATCACACTGACCATGCACCGGCTCCTCATGTCTCCCGATGACCTTCTGGACAAACTAATCTCTCTATATCCTTTAAAACGCCCAAAGCTCCGAAAACATCACTGCTGCTGCTTCTCTGAATAATGCGGTGGCTAATTCTGTGCAGTGAGTGACATCAGATTTCTGCTGTTACTTTGTGCCTGCCTGCGCTTTCTTCTGGTTGTCAACAGCAACGGGCAATCAGGCTTGTTCTTGGCTCGCACAATGCATCTGTCTGAAGCTGTCACTGTAGAATGTGGAGGAAAAATGTCAGTTTGTCGTTCGAGCTTTAGACCCTTTTCTCCACTGAATCTGAGAACAATTTTTATTTGAGAGAAAGCCTGCTGATTGAAGAGGCAGGGAGTAAAGTAGGTTCGGATTAAGCGAAAGGACTGTTACTTGGACAAAGAAATACTTAAAAAGATAGAACTACAAAATACAACAAAAAAACAAGTACTCAAAACTGTAAATGGTTACATTTAAATACACAATTGTGATAATTGTCTGATTTCGGGAGTTATCTGATTACAGAAATGTCATTTAAACTGTTGCATTAGATGTGACTAATCGGATTTCAAACACAAAGAATGTCTAAAAAATAAAGTGGCAAAGACAAAAATGAAAAAAAAAAAAGATAAAATATTATTATCATTTCAAAATCCATTGTACTACTATTGTATTGTTCCGAATTCAACAATTACTCTAAAAATCCATTGATTAGGTGACGTCACTATGTGTTTTTGATGAATCAGACTTATATTATGCATGAAATCACACAACAGAAATCAGATTTTTACTGACGATGTAAGTGTAACCAATGATGTGATAATGTGGTAATACAAAAAGGGATACAGTGGACTATTTTAGTGGTTCTGGTGAAGAGAAGATGGAGAAGCTGAGGTGACTGATGTCTGCTGCTGTAATGGAGATCAGATAGTTTTTTGGGAAAAGAATGTGTTTGTGTGAATGACGTGAACGGAGGATGTTTGAATCTGTATGTCATTCGTTCATTCGTGTTCGTCAAATATAAAACCTAAAATAAGAAAATGACAAAAAAATATATTTTCTTCATTATTTGTCTTCAAAACCAAAATGGAAAAACGGATAACGATTCGAATGACTGAACCAGGACTGAAACAGGACTAAACCAGGACTGAGACCGGGACTAAGACCAGGACCAGACCGGGACCAAAACCAGAACTGAGACTGGGACTGAGACCGGGACTGAGATCGGGACCAGACCGGTGTCACAAGATCAGGACTGAGATCAAGACTGAGACCACGACTAACCGGAACTGAAACCGGTTTAGTCCTGGTTTAGTCCTGGTTTAGTCCTGGTTTAGATCTGGTTTAGTCCTGTTTTAGTCCTGTTTTAGTCCTGCTTTATTCCTGGTTTAGTCCTGGTTCAGTCTGTTTGCGGCAAGTCAAGGGAAACGGCCTTTATCTGTTTTTTCCATTATTCGTTTAAATACAAAATCGAAAACTGAAAAAACTAATCGTTATCCGTTTTTTTCATTTTGACTTTGGAGACAAATAATGAAGAGAATTGTTTTTTTGTTTTTTGTTTTCTTATTTTGGTTTTATTTTGAAAAATGAATGAACAAATGATACACGGATTTATTTGGATATTCACTTTCCCTGATGGATTTTACACTACAGTGTCAGAATCACTTTTGAACAATGGATGATTTATGGTGAACCTGGGCCCCAACCAGATACCCTTTGAGATCAGCTTCAACATAAACAAAGCGACTGAACAGAGCATTTTCCCACAAACCCAATGATGGTTGATGGTTTGGTCATTGTGCTTTTTGACAAGACACTTCACCCACTTGGCGTTTGTATCCATGGTGGAGGTGCAGATTGGCAGCCACATTCTCTAGCTTGACCCAGGGCAGCTCTGACGTCATTCTGAGTGCAGAGAGTGGATGACAATGTAAACAGTTTTGCGGGACAGGTGATTAAAATAACTAAGCCTCTACTTTTATTATTCAAATACAGTGTTATACACAAGACTGAACCGAAACTGAAGAGAGATAACACAAGAAAACTACTCAATAATGATAATACAGAATAATATTATACGTGACCGATGGCGTCACAGAGAGAGCAAATCGCAAAGGACGCGGACTGGAGCAGCTTTCCCATTCTAGGCGTTAATTACCTCTGCTTCAAAAAGGCTCCACTACGGCTATATATAAACACAAACTAAGAGACTGCTATTTCCAACCCTCTCATTCAGGCCTTAACATGTATATCAACTAAAAGGTGTTTGTATGCGAGGGGAGGGGCGGCAGAGGGAGAGGATGAAGAGGAGGGGGCTGGTTGAGGGTTAGGATCACAGGGGCCCTTATAACAGCCTTCATCACCGTCTGGCCTTGGGTTTGCGTGGGCCGGTTCTTCTGCTCCCATGACGCAATTAGTCTTTTTCTGGGCACCACTCAAAGCTGATTTCTAACCAATCGACAGCTTTAAGTGTCAGCATTATTTGTAAAGGCCATTGTCTGCTGTATACATTAACAGGCTGTGTGTTTTTGCGGCGCATATATCCATGGACAATATCTAGTTAGCATAAACGCGCTGTTTTTATTATGCTGATTGTGTATACTCTTTTTGTTATTCACTTTCCAGCTCTGGGCCAGTATGATTCAGAAAGTGATGCTCATCGCAGTTTTCTTTTTTTTTTTTTTTTTTTTTTTTTGCCTTCGCCCACATCACCAAATGTCACTCCTGTTTGCCTTTTGGTGCAGTTGAAATCCCTTTTATTAATGAACGCTCAGTACAGAGGAAAGTTGGCGACCATATGTGAGATATTACTCATAACACACCTGCACCAAACAGTGTCGGAGATCAGCAGATTCATCGTTTACTGCAATTAGCGCTAGTTAGAAAATATGGGGCTAAACATGCAACATTATGCTTTGTCTAGTGGCATAAAAATAACTTCATCAAAATACTGCCATTATTGTCAACACAGATAAATGTGTTAAAATGCCTATGTTACACTATTTTCTGATGTATGTTTTAAAGCAGGGGTGTCAAACTCAATTTCACAGACGGCCAAAATTAAAAACTGGGACTAAGTCGTGGGCCAAACCAAATATTTATTGAAAAATGCATGTTTTCTCTTCTTTCAAGATATGTAATGTTAAAGCTTTTCTTATTAAAATAAATGTTTAATAATAGTTTTGCTTAAAAAACACTGACTCCAGAACAAGCAAAATATAAAATAATAACAAAATTTTAAATAAATAATGTCTGTAGCCGGCGGGCAGCTCTAGTACATATTTGATATGACCTCCTGGGCTAAATATGATTATATCGTGGGCCAAATTTGTCTGTTTTAAAGGGACAGTTTGTAATTTTGGACATAGGACTTCATTTCCTAGTGAGCCAGAGTGTTGGAGACGTGTGGAGACACTTTTTAAAATATTCCATCCAGTCCTTGTATTTGCAGAGGTCGCTGGTGCTAGGCTAGTGCATGTCAATGGCCGTAGTTATCCTGCCACTAAAAACAGTATCACCCACACCACAAAACACCCGAAGCAAATCTGTTATTACACCAAACTATCGCTGTGAATGTCTGTGTTGATTGAATAATGTTTGAAATAAAACTAATTAATCTTGCATCGCATGAATCATCACATGTTGAGGGACTATTTTCTCACATATCAGTCCGCCGCTGTCAAGGTTTCTATCAGGAGGTACAACTCGCTGCTGCTCAGACAGAAATCCTTTAAATGCAAGGTTGATTTTACTTCTAAAATGATTCTATCAACACAGACATTTACATTGACAGTCTGGTATAATAACTGTTTTGCTTCAGGTGCTTTGTGAAGTGAGTAAGACTGTTTTTAGTGACAGGATAACTATGACCATTGAGATGCACTAGCCTAACACCAGCGACCTCTACAAATACAAGGACTGGATGGAATGTATAAAAAATGTGTCTTCACACATCTCCAACACTCTGGATAACTAAGAAATGAGGTCCTATGTCCAAAATTCCGAACTGTCACTTTAATGTTGTTTCCTCATCAAAAACTTAACAGGACCTGTGTTTTTGTTGTGTGTTCCTGATTATTTAGGCTCTCTCAAACAGATATCACTTTGTTCCACCCTGTGATGTCATGTGATAATACAGGAAGTGCTTGACAGTTTTTTAAACACCATGCACCTTCACTAGATTCATTTTGATAATTTCAGCCCTGGAATTGCTAGTCTCTGTTGAACTAAAAGTAAAAGGTAGCAGTTAACTTGAAAACTACCACTTCATGGTGTTACAAGTTGGACCAGAGCATTTTGAGCTTTGGAGATGCAAACAGGCTAATTATAAAGGATTACTCAAGCGTGTGAATGATACAATAAACAACTACAGGTGTGTTTTTTGCGGAGGTAACAACATTATAACATGGCTTAAAGCTCACAAGAGTCAATTTTTGAGTAATATGGCACCTTTAAATTGTTCAGTGATAAAATTATGTCTCAAATGAAAGTGATGTATTGTACAGTCTTTCTCACAATATGCTTTTCCATACAGTATGCGAGTAGTTGATCAGTTTGGTGTAGTCAAAACAAAAGTACCATTGGTAGTTTGCAGACGTCATGTAGAAGGTCATGGTTTGATTTCTGAGCTGGTTGGCCTTGGGCTTTTGTGTGCACTTCTGCAAACCAAACACTCATTTCTCACTCTTTTATTCTCACAGTCAGGGATCAAAATTGAACAGAAAAGCAACTTGGGGTAAGTTGCTTTTCTGTTCAATTTTGATGATTTTTGTTATTCACATAGATACATTCTATAGTCATCCAATCAGCAATATTCTGTGTGATATGGAGTAACAGCATCAGCACAGTCACAAATATTCAGTGGTGGAAGAAGTACTCAATTTTGCAACATCACATGAAAAAAAATGCAAACATAAAAGTATTAAAGAACCTGTTTAAAGATGTACTTAAAGAAAAAAGTAAACGTAAAAACTACTTCATACAGATTTTGAGATCTAATAAAGCTTCAAGTGTACTGATTTTGATAAAGATTTGTGCTGAATTTTGTTCAAAAACAATTTAATTCATTTTTCCTAGCTGCTTTTATTTGCATTTGTTTGTTCATACTACTACTACTACTACTACTACTACTACTACTACTACTACTAATAATAATATTAATATTGCATCAGTTTTATTTAGCGCTTTTCTTCAGACTCAAAGACAAACGTGTTAAAAGTAACCTCCCAGCTTTTTCAGCAGGTCTAGCAGATAATAATAAAAAAATACTTTTACTTTTCAGTCCTGTTCAAAAATGTCATGGGGTAAAAAGTACAGATACCTGCTCTCAAATGTACTAAAGTAAAAGTAAAAAGTTTCCCCTTTAACATCTACACAAGTACAAATGCCTAAAATGTATACTTAATTACAGTACTTTACTACTTTTACTTCATTATGTCCCACCACTGCAAATATTATTCAGTTTGAAACAATTGGGTGTGATTAAAAGTGACTCTTGCTTGTAATTAACTCTTATTTAATTAGCACTATGCATGATTGGGCTATACACAAAATTATTCAAGCTGATTTTTAATGATGACTGTTGAGGTCTTATGTCTTGCATTCAGTCTGGCACTGGCTGACATAGCCAAGCCAGTGTTGTGTGATGGTTGTGTGTATTGTGTGATATTGTAGGTTCCTTTCTCCTAATGTAACCGTCCTTAACTCACTGCTCACATTTAAAACTGCGATGGACAATGAAGAACCAGCGGAGTGTAAAAAGATCTGCTTCCTCATCAGGTCAGCCTTACAATAGAAAGAGTAGTGCAATTTTGTATCACATTGATCTTTCAAATTAGAATATTTATTTCATTTGTAATATTTTATAAAGTACTACAAAACAAAAAACAAGACAAAACAAATTTCATTTAAACAACAGAATGCCATTTTCAACATTAAAGGGACAGTTTGTAATTTTGGACATAGGACCTCATTTCCTTGTGAGCCAGAGTGTTGGAGACGTGTGGAGACACTTTTTAAAAATATTCCATCCAGTTCTTGTATTTGCAGAGGTTGCTGGTGCTAGGCTAGTGCATGTCAATGGCCATTGTTATCCTGCCACTAAAAACATTCTTACCGACTCCACAAAACACCCGAAGCAAATCTTTTATTACATCAGACTGTGGATGTAAATGTCTGTGTTGATAGAATAATGTTTGAAATAAAACGAACCTTCCATCGCCTAAATCGTCACATGTTGAGGGACTATTTTCTCATATATCAGTCCGCCGCTGCTGAGTTTTCTATCAGGAAGTACAACTCGCTGCTGCTCAGACATAAGTCCTTCAAATGCAAGGTTGGTTTTATTTCTAAAATTATTCTATCGACACAGACATTTACATCGACAGTCTAGCATAGTAATAGATTTGCTTCGGGTGCTTTGTGGAGTGGCTAAGACTGTTTTTATTGGCAGGCTAACTATGGCCATTGACATGCACTAGCCTAGCACCAGCAACCTCTGCAAATACAAGAACTGGATGGAATGTTTTCAAAGTGTCTCCACACGTCTCCAACACTCTAAGAAATGAGGTCCTATGTGCAAAATTCCAAACTGTCCCATTAAATTGTTCTTTCTTTTGTATGTGGTCTCATCCCTCATTCGTCCAGGTCTATGTGGTCTTATACTTGTTCTGATACAGCTCAAGATCTGTCTAAAATTATTCAGGAAAGGTTTATTTCTGTTTTGTGAATGTGAACTTTTTAGTATCAATACTTATTCAAATGAGTATCAATACTAGTAAATTATCTATTAGAACCTGATTTTCGATAAATTGGCAACCCTAGTCTCTTCTTTGACCTGCAGACACTGGATCCAGGAGTTTTGGATGATGTTCCGCCTGCACCACAGCCTGACCGACAGCTTGGACCAGTTTCGTGAGCTCCTCCGAGAGCAGGGCCAGGAGAGTCTCTGCTCACTCCTCGAGACCAAATGGATGTAAGTGCTAAAGTCTGGCCAGCTGGCAACTGAGACCTCACAGTGCGGTGGGGGAACGCCAGTCACTCACCATTCTGAGTGACTGAGGACACTTAGTATCAGACATAGTAATAATAGGGACCAGACACAATGTCCACAAAACGAGGTGAAACACGAGATTTTTACATAATTTCTTTTTTTTTTATTGTGTGGCTCATATCACAGTATTGGCCTCACTTTTAAATTTTATTTTAATTGATATTTGGCTGTCATTGTTCCACTAAATCTTCTCAAGTGGTTTAATTCACCCACACGTAACCCATTTTAGTTCAATCCAAATGTAAACAAAATCTCACAAGCGCATTTCTCACCTATGTGCGCAATCTTGTGGCAATTTTATCTCGCTTGATCTTGAAACACGCAATCTTGTCTCATCCCTAAAGACTGGTAAAAGGTCACTGCCAAACAAGATTTGAGGTCATTTCTAGAGGTGTTTGAATTCACATCCACTGATAGTAATATTGAAAGTACTGATGACTAGAATAGTCTGCTATAATAACAATGCATGTAATGAAAAATATTTGTTTTATTTGATTAGAAATGAAAGAGACTGGTCATGGAAAGCAAGCACCAAAATCAAAGCCAACAGCAGTAAAAAAAGGAAGGTGTCTCTGCTTTTCGATCACTTGGAGCCAGACGAGTTGGCAGAGCACCTCACCTACCTGGAGTTTAAGTCTTTTTGCAGAATATCAGTGAGTATAACCACATTTCCTGAGGTTGAAATGCCTGCGACTTGATCTAACACTGTTCCTTTTCCTTTGTAGTTTATGGACTATCAGAGCTACATTCGTAAGTGCTGCTTGAAGGACATCCCTGTGATGGAGCGGTCTATTGCCCTGTGTAACGGTGTGTCTCAGTGGGTGCAGCTGATGGTGCTGAGCAGACCCACAGCACAGCTCAGAGCAGAGGTCTTCACCAAGTTCATCCATGTGGCACAGGTATGGAGTCTGCTTGTTCTGCTCATTCAATGGCCCTTAAGAATCCCTTTTTCATTACACATATGCATATCAAGAACAACTTATTATATACAGTAGTTCTGCAATTAAATACCACTTTAATTCTTCAAAAATTTTAAGGCACAGAGCAATGTACAGAACCACATAAAACCACAAAAAGCTGACTCAACAGAAAAAAGAGCTCATGAGTTTGACAAAGCATTTCAGTCCCATTAAAGGTATTATTGTTGTTGTTTAAACACTGTATTGCATTCACTTCTCATAAGTCAGTGTATCTTCTGATTCACATAATGTGAACTGTATGTAGCCTGTGCTCTTACTGTTTTAAAAAAGTTACTAGAATCACAACTGAACCTGGGTTACCAGTGCCTAAACCTGCAGACAGGAAGTGAAGTGAGGTGATATGATAGTGAAAGCTCAGAAGCTCCAGAATTCACTCAGGCTGCACTGTTAATGAATGGGTGCATGTACTAGTAGTGGTAATTCAGCTTAGAGAGCTACTGTAACTCTAACCCAGTTGGTTTGGTTTAAACCCAATGTTGGGTTTAAATCAAACCAACTTGCAACCCAAATAACAATGTGAAACTTGTAACCCAAATAAGAGACTCATAGAGGTTCATTCAGACTAATCATCTTCAGAATTAAAACACCAAATGGCAGCATAAATAAATGGGACACCATGTCCAATGTTTATGTAATGAATCAGCATTCACATTGTTATCAGTACCAGGCATGTTTATTTGAACATGCTTACCTTATAACTGGGGACAGAGATAAAGTACATGACCTTTAAAATCAAAATCTTACATATAGTTTGTTTAAATATATTTTTGTTCTTGTGTTGTTGTCACGCAGAGTACTAATATGTGGACCTTTGTGTCTAGCTTCAGTTTGAGTTTCTGGTCATTTAACTAAATGTAAAACTTGTTGGTTCCACCTATTTAACTTTGACCTTTGCAATAGTGAGTGTTAAAGTTGTTCAAGCATTTACTTTCAATACTGATATTTCAACAACCGTGATTATAACTGAGTGGATAAATGAATCAGTGTGTACCATAATAAATATTTAAACACACTGTGAAGCATGCCACACTGTACCGTGAAAAAGACCGTGAAAAAGAGATGACAGAGGCAGCCAGAGCTCAGCCTGAGCTTGCTTAATGCTCTAATACCTGGAGCTACATGTGGCATGTGGAAGAGAGATGTGCTCGCTTCAGGGAGCTGTTAGGCCACTTGTACTGTGGAGGACCTCAACACCCCACTGCTGTCAGCTGGAAACCCATGGGATCACAGTATATTTCACACTGTATCGCTCTAGTGGCAGCAGGCATTAGCCCACTGAGAAGACACAGAGCGGTGGGAATGCTTTCTCCAAAAAGAATGATAGGCCCAGGGACAGTAAGAAAAAGACAACAATCTAAGTGTCTTACGTAAGGGTTGAGTTGTGGAGATTACATAAGCGGGGTTACCTGGCGCGGGCCTAATTGAGCGTGTTATGAGTGTGCACTGACTGATAGGTGCACGTTGTGTTTGTGTGTCCAACAGAGTCTCCATGTCATGCACAACTTCAACACACTAATGGCTGTGGTGGGAGGCCTTTGCCACAGCTCCATCTCCAGACTGAAGGACACCACCTCACACGTGCCCAGTGAAGTCACCAAGGTAAGGCAGTGCAAAGCTCAACCTCAGAAAGCAAATACAGAACTTCTGTGAAGGACAAAGAGCATATTTCACTGCTGCTTTCTCACCAATGTACATATAGTTTGCAAACTTTGAAAAATAAAATGAATAAGAAAACATTTTTATTTGTGAAACATTGGCTTCATGAAAAGTAATATGGAGTAACGTCTGTTTAATTTCTGGATTAATCTGCAAAGAAATTATTCTGCTGAGTACAAATAAATATCTAAAACACAGTTCAAAATCACAATCATCCACACTAAAAGCAATAATAAAAGTACTATTGGTGCAATAAACTCCTAGCAACAGATTTGATCACAAATCTTATCATCTTAAAGGACAGTTTTCTCATTCACAAGAATAAAATCAGATACCCCATCTTAAAAATAAATACCCACCTCCATACAACCTTAGTTCTTTTCAAATTTACTTAATTTTTTCTCCAGGTACTGAATGAGATGACCGACCTCCTCTCCTCCCGCCGAAACTACGACAACTATCGCCAGGCTTACAACAAAGTGACTGGCTTCAAAATCCCCATTCTGGGTGTACACCTCAAAGACCTGATCTCTGTGAACGAGGCCATGTCGGACTATGTGGAGGACAACAAGGTCAATGTCCAGAAGCTCCAAGCTCTCTACAACCACATCAATGAACTGATCCAGCTCCAGCAAACCCCCCCCAGGCTGGACGCTAACAAAGACCTTGTGCATCTACTGACCGTAAGCACACATTCAGGGATGATTCAGACCCTAGTGAACAACAGCTACATGCAAATGAGCTTGTTCCAGCGCCCGGCTCCTCTGGCGCTGGTGTGGAGGTGTGTGGAGAGTCTGTGATCTGCAGTATGTGGGTGACAAACCAACTGCCAATGAGTACTCAAATTGCTGTATTGTTATGCTATCCGTGCATGAGCGTCAGAATGCCCATGAAACACACAAAAGCGTTCCGGTGACCTCATTTTTGTTATTATGAAAACACATCGGAAGAACACGTTTAGAATTAGATAAGTGTTTGAAAATTTGAGTTTTGCATTTCTAATTGTGATTCCAAGTATTGCTCTATTTAGTTAACAAAATAGTTGTGATAGAAAATCTGTTCAGAAAGACATGTTTACTTGTACACTGCAAGACCTGGAGCATCATTACCACTTCTAATCTAATCCACTTAAGTCTTTAAACAAAAGGTCACAAAACATTACCATCAAAATTAGGGATGTAACAATAACCGAAATATTGTGATATCGTATCGTCAAAGTTCTAACAATAATATATCGAATTACAAGTCTCTTTGCTTAAATTGAGAGTTATAGCACAAAAAAAGACAGAGGGAACTACATAGACCAGGGGTGGGCAAACGTTTTGGCTCGGGGGCCACATAGGGTTCTAAAATTTGACTGAAGGGCCGGACAGAAGACGGGACATGACGTGTTCAGAGCCCGGCTCCATTGCACTGTATTTACTCTCATGTAGAACGTATTCTGCACTACGCGCTGCAACTTTTAGACATGTAAGTTCCAGAACTCATGAAAAGTGAAATGAGGTCTGCCCCACTGCACATCAAAGGCAAACATGTGTCCCGAGTACTTAGACCAGGGATGGGCAAACTACGGCCCGGGGGCCATATGCGGCCCTTTAAACCTTTTAATCCGGCCCGCCGAACTTAAATAAATAATAATAATAAACCTTGTTAATGTTTTATTTTTCCTGCATTTCCGGCGTTTCCCAGTAGACGGCGCACTATATATACATTGAGTTGCGGCGGCTTCTGATGGCCGCAATGCTTTATGGGAAAGTATTGACAGGAGTCATTTTCAGGCGGTGTATTCGGACCATGAATGAGGTAGAAGTGTTCAAGACATAAGACTGCACTAATTCCAATTTAAGGGTGTACAATGCAAACACCGTTATAACACTATCTTGCTTTGATAAACATGACATAGAAAGGAAAAGCTCTGCAACTACACTGTGTGGCGGTATCTTGTATGTGACGTGTTACCTCCTGGTATATGATGTAGTCAGTGAGGTGTGAACACCTGTGATATATGCTGCCTGAAGGGCTGTGCGAGTTAATGCCGTTGATTTATTAAAATAACTAGATACAGTATTGCTGCTTGAAGCTGTCTCCAGTTGACATAGTTGTCACTTACTGGAACTTCAGCAGAAAAAATCCTATGGGCCGAGATAAGATTTTTCTCATAAAGGCAATGTAATCAGCTCGTTTCGTCTGACAGGTCAATCATCTAATATCGGATTTGTTGGCGATTTTTACCTATTTTTAGATCATAAACTTTTTCTAGCTCAAAATCCTTCAGTTGTCTTAAAAAAACACTTTATATTCGTTAGCTCCTGCTCCGCTCTAGCTCCTCTCGCTCTGATTGGTCAAAACGATCACGTGATACACGAGCCCGCGCTCCGTGCGTGTGGTCGCGTGCATTCGCGTGTGCCCGTGGGAGAAAAGAGCACTACTGCGAATGCTCGGTCGGCCCGCAGCCACCGGAAGTACCTAGCCATGCTAGGCTAATCTGGGATCATGCGCCATTGAGCTCAGCCCATTGACTTGAATGGGCGGCCATTTTAGAACCTGGGGGCTTGGCTAGTGCCCGGTGACCTTATGCAGCCATTCAAACTGACCCACAGAACTTGACCAAATTATAATAAATAAACCTTACTGCTGTTTTATCTTTCTTGCATTTCCGGCGTTTCCCGGTAGATGGCGCACTATATATACATTGAGGTGCGACGTTTTTTGTTGGCCGCAATGCTTTATGGGAAAGTATTGACAGGAGTCATTTCAGGCGGTGTATTCGGACCATGAATGAGGTAGAAGTGTTCAAGACATAAGACTACACTGTTTCGCTTAAGATCTGTGTAAAGCAAAGTCGTACAAACATATATTCACTATAATAGAAAGTCCTGAAAGTTTTGTTAGACACCACTCGCACACACACACCCACATATCGTGAGCTTTACCACGATATTGCAATGAATATTGTACCGTGAGGGTCATACTGTATCTTGAGACTTGGATATTGTTACGTCCCTAATCAAAATATATAAGCCCTTTACTTTCTCTGCAAGGAATTTTAACAGTAATGGTTTAAAATTGTGATTTAAATTCTGAGAAAAACATTAACATTATTGTTCTGGCCATAACTGAGTAGCCCTGTTTGACCTTTTTTTCTTTCTCACTTTGTCTTCACAGCTGTCTTTGGACCTATATTACACTGAAGATGATATTTATGAGCTGTCGTATACAAGAGAGCCCAAGAACTGTAAAGCACCTGTCAGTGAAGGACACCAATCACCCAAATCTATAAATAGCTTTTTGCATATTTTAATTGTGTTGTTGTTTTTCTCATCAGCCAGCCACCCCCTCTAGACCTCCAGTGGTTGTGGACTGGGCATCCGGAGTGTCCCCCAAACCGGACCCCCGAACCATCAGCAAACATGTGCAGAGAATGGTTGACGTAAGTCCTCTCAAACCGTGTTGCATAACCCTCATTTGTTTGAACATTTCTCCCTGCCATTTACCGGCTATTAACAGCGTCCCTTCTTGTTCGCAGTCTGTGTTTAAGAATTATGATCACGACGAGAACGGCTTCATCTCTCAAGGGGATTTTGAGAAAATTGCTGCTAGCTTTCCATTTTCCTTCTGTGTCATGGATAAAGAGAAGTGAGTGCTCGACAGGTCACGTAGTTAATTCACAAGTACAAGTTAGAGAGGAAGTGAAAAAGGTGGTATTTGTAATGATCAGCAACAGGAAACCTCAAATAACAGCATACTCTAACAATAAACATATGACTGTGTAAGACTTTGTTGTAATTATACCGAAACAGGAAATTCTGTCATTCATTAAATGAAAATGTAAAATGTAAAAATGTATAATTTGTTTTATCAGGGAGGGCATGGTCAACAGGGAGGAGATTACTGCTTATTTCTTGAGAGCAAGTGTCATCTGCTCCAAACTGGGCCTTGGCTTTGTGCACAACTTTCAGGAAACCACTTATATGAAGCCTACATTCTGTGACAACTGCTCAGGATTTGTAAGTGTTAGATGCAAACATTGAATATGCATTTTACGATAAACAAATAGATCTGAAATTAACACGTTTTTTTTCTTTTTTAATAGTTATGGGGTGTCATTAAACAAGGCTACAGATGCAAAGGTAAGAGTCTATTATTTGCATCCACTTGTTCATTTTCTATTGTCTCAGGTAGTGCAAGCCTTTAGAGGGAGCTTTGCGGTGTGCCTGTTGCAGGCATGTAGCTAAACACTGCAGTTTAAAAAAGCATAAACTGAAAGTCAGTGCATCGCAAAACCACATTTTCCCCCTCCCCCAACCGAGAAGTGTTTGCCTCTCGGTGAGCATTTAAAGGTCAACCTGGTGCTTTTGCAGAACAAGGATAAGTTGGTGAGAGATGTTTAGATTCACGATGTATTTTTCTGTCTGTAATAGATTGTGGGATGAACTGCCACAAGCTCTGCAAGGACCAGGTGGCGTTCGAATGCAAGAAAAACACCAAAGTAGCCAGCGCCATCGACAGTCCCACTTTCAGCACCACGTCTGTCACCACGGGAACTTCAGAGGGTGGGTGGGCACGGCGGGTTTCCTAGCACAAATATCTCACACTTACATACAGTAAACGGCAGCAGGAGTTCACTCAGCCATCAACAGATTTCCTACACTGCATACAGACATTTGACTTTGTGTCTGAAATCTAGGTGTTCAGCTCTGGCACTAGAACTATATGCACCTGGCAGGTTTTACACACTCACTTGGTGCAGGAGTCCTTCTGCATTGGGCTCTGTTACACTTACTGTTGTCTTGAACTCCAAAATTACATTGCACATTTTAAGTTATCACTGTTAAATAGAAAAGCTGCTATAGAAAAAATACATTTGACATCCTGAAAATGCAATATTTTGATAAATTGTGAATGAGTGGACGCTTATTTTTCTATTGCCCATTCTACAGTTTCAGAGGACTGTCCGTTCCCATATCCAGATGAGATCAAATACTGGAGCCCCTCTTCTCCTGTGCCTCCTCCAGTCCGGCTTCAGAGGGTTCACTGTGGGACACAGACAGACCTGACCCCAGTCACCTCCCCTGTGCATGAACCTGCTCTGCTGGTCCCTGCCACAACCCCCACCCTGAGCTCCTGCCCCAGCCCCGTGCCTCAGAGGAAACAGCGCCACTGTGCCAAGTGGGAGAACCGCGCTTCAGTGCATCAGAAAACTAAGGATTCAGATGAAGAGAGCAAACCCACATATGAAACACTTGAGGCAGTGAGTAGCAGGGCTCTTTATCTTTGCCACCCTATAGCACACGGTAAATGTCTTTATCTATGTTTTATTTTGATTTAGTTGTTTTGCACTTATGTAACATATAACTATAAAAAGGTACACTAGATAAAAAAGTAGGTGCACGAAGAGGCAAAAAACCCAAAACCCAAAAGATTTTACATTATAGCTGTGCATTACTTAAAAATTACATTTAAGCACCTTAAAAAATTCACAAAATTTAAGCATGGATTAAAGTTCCAACAACTGAATTGATGATCAAACATTACCATGAAATATCAAACTTTGCCTTAAACTCTTTTTAAATGATGTTTCAGATATGCCATCAGAGTTGGATGTGAAAACACTAGAGCCTCAGTTTTGCAGGCAAAACTGGGCTCTTCATGTGACACATTTTGGAACATGCAAATAGCGATTTTAACAAGTATTGGATCTATGAATCTCTGCATTTGTTTTAAAATAAAATGTGAATCAAGCTTCTGTGTGGTACCCTATAGCACATAGGAAATGTAACAGCTCCTTTGTGTCCCCCAGGAGAACCAGCGACTTCAGAAAGTCAATGAGGGTCTGCGCAGGAAGCTGAAGGAGACGGAGAGAGAGGTGGACATCCTAAAGACACTGCTGAAGAGACATGCTTTGCACCCAGTGGAGGAGGACTCCTCTTCATAAGCACACATACAGTATACAGCCAACTACATTCAGTACTGGGATTGCATTCATACTGCAGGCCTATGATAATAGAGTGTGATGTGGAACCATAGAACCAGTGCACATGTACTGACAAAATATAACTAGTTATAAAGCTAAAGGGAGCTCAGTTGTGAGGTTTTCTGGTTAAAACGATGGTGCTTTACCACTAGTGAAGGTAGATGTAACTGTTCATAGAGTGTGATGGAGAGTTACTTTTTAAAGAAGAGTTTTAAAACTTACAGCTGTTCAGTATGATTGCCATTGTTACTTGCACCTCACTCAATCTCATGTTACCTATTTTTAGTAGAAACACTGTGTTCAAACTACAGATCTAATCTGTGGTACACATAAAATGATGTATATAAGGTTTGTTCTGCAGGGGAAGTGGAGTATGTTTTTCATATTAAAATGCCATGATGCCATAGTGAATGATAAGCCACAAATCTCTTAAGTGCAATATAAAAAGTGTCATGCATTCTGGGGCCTGCAGCCAAATCTGTGCAGCTGTTCTGTACTTTTGTTCATATGAAGGTTATGTTCATATTTATTGTCTAAAACACTACATTATGTCATGTTTTGTATACTGGTACTTTGAAATATTTATCTTTGTTTGTGCCAGCATCTTAGTGGACCTTTTGGGGTTTTTACAATGTATTTGTACAATTATAATAATTACCATGTGATTGTTTTAAAAGTGACGTACTGTGAATGTAAATGTGGACTGTACATAGCATATTTACTGTGCCAGTGTATGGAAGTGCCATCTTTATTAATGCTATTTCTCTCAGTATTATGGATCTTCTAATAAAGAAATTGAAATATACCCCCATTGCATTCTGCTATACTCTTTATGTCCACATGGTGTCACTAGAGCATTGCATTAGTTCTGCGTGCTTTGTCAGGTGGCCTAAGATCATATTTATTAGTGTATATCGCTTATAGCAGAAAGGGAATTATTTTGTCCTTTCTAATTAATTGAAAATAACAAATGTGTATCGTCAGTGGAAATTTATAGAAAGCAAGTGTTGCTTAAAAATGTCTTTTACTGTGCTATCATAACATACTTTATCCTTAGTACATTAGTGGCCATAGGCTAAGTAAAAGTCATTTGGCTCTCCATTTCTCTGCGGTAATGGCCAGACCCATGGTAATGACTTGTTGCAGAGCTTTAGCAGCAGTGGGCACAGACCCATGCAGTGTGAGCTCTCTGAGGCATAGCAGCAACTCCAGAGCCTGCCTTTGGTGACAGCTAATTTACCTTTCCTATAAAATCTAGCAGGTTGTGTCTGCACATTAAACAATTTGCCATGTCATTTCTTGCTTGAATAAGTTACAGTGAAAATGTGTTATAGACTAGTATAGCCCGCCTGGAATGTTTTACGCTGTATAACATATTTGGTGACCAGATTTTCAAAATCAGAAACTGGGACACTTCTGGTTTGGGGTGGTTTTGGGACAAATCGGTCGTTTTGGGGAAAAAATAAATAAATTATTGGGACAGAGGACAGAGAGCTCAAAACTGGAACTTTTCCAGGTAAATTGAGTCACCTGTCCACAGATATGACAGGTGATATGGCCTGGTTCACCTGCTTATTTCCATGGACCTAGATACGTTTATCCAGGCGAAACAATAACATCTACCTGAAGACCTTCCACCAGAAACGTTACACAGTGCATCTTTAAAAGACATTGATGGAAAATAAAGGTAGTGCAAATACCAAGGTGTCAGTAGGCCCTTCGAAATGCTGTGTTATTGGTACATTATTGTACAGCTATATTTAGACAATAAAAGTGTGCACAGCATGTGCGATAATAAATGGGATAAGGAATCTCTCCATTTGGCAAACTAAAAGCTCCCAAGAGCACCTAGAAGTACTTTTAAAAACAGTAATAACACTATTTGTTTGATAAGTAGACTATTTACAGTGACAAGAACAGACATCCCAAACATATACACATACATTAGTGGGGAAATGTGCAAATCTCATCAGTGGTATAATTACTCATTTGGGGCCAAAGGAGAGCCACACTGCCTGCAGGTTAACCTATGCCGTGCACAAGGTGACCCCGGTCTCCGCAGAAGAGCAGAAGATGACAGTTGTGCCTAATTACCGCGGTCAGATCGAGATGATTTATCACCCAGACATCAGCGCACACGGGGGATCGGGGCCATTGTGAGCACCCCGTAACTTCACTGAATCTGCAAAGTCTAATGAACACACTCTCAAACTAATTAGAGAAAGATATGGAACATCCCATTATGTCCCCCATGACAGCTCAGCGAGGGGGGCCCGGCCAGAACACGACGCATTTAACACTGGGATCAGCTCTTTCCAGACACTCCTGCCTGTAGGATAGAACCATGCCACTAATTCCCCTGATTATTAAACTTACTTCATTACGTTCTAATGATGGCCGAAGGAGCCAAGTGGGAGACTGTGGAGAAGTGTGAACAGAGACACAGAGATAAAGAAGAGAAAAGCAGTATGATTGTGTGAAGCCATGGTGAAATTTTTAATTAATCTTGATGATGGTGGAGGAGGGAGGTGAGGGGGGCGAGCAGCACTGAGGTCTGCTGCAGCTGTGTGTGGCAACAGATCACTTTGGAATAACTACGTGGGAGAATTAGTGATAAGTCATCAGATAAGGCATGCACTGTCAACAGCAGATGAACTGGGTGAATACAAGACAGAAACCTTCACTTGCACACTGGCTCAGAGTGGGTGGGTGTGGAGGCAAGCAAACTCTTAGTTGTGAACTCATTTGAATATTTTGCTATAAAAACATACAAGTGCTACTGTTCATTTTAGCAAGAAAGATGATTCAGTTTGAAAGAAACCACATAGCCTACGCTCTTACAGTTTGAAAAAAGTGACTGCAATCACAAGTGAACCTGCAGTGCCTCAACCTGCACACTGAGGACACATGCAAGTTTTTCTCATTCTCAGTACATGGACAGGCCACATCTCAGAACCTCCAGAATTCCCTCACTGAGCTGCAGAGGATGCACTAGCATGTACTGGGGTTTAGTTAGTGACCATTCAGATCAGATAGATTCATTTTAAGCTTAAACCAACTGGATTTCAGCATTGAACCTGGCAACCCAAATGATAGACTCACGAGAGAGTTGTTATTTAGATCTTGAAGAAAAAAAAATTAATACATTTGTGAAGCCCAGTGACTTTTTGGAAGATAGACCAAGGTTTATTCTTGTTAGTGCAGATATGGACAGGGTTTAGGCCTGCCCTGGCCAGAGACCAACATCAGCAGTATGTCCCTACACCATTTGACCCTGAATGTTACAAAGCACCAAGTTTATAAAGCCTGAGATGACCAAAAGACATACATTTCACTGAGAAGGTGACGACTCCTACTGAGGTGTGTCCAAATGTGCTTGATCTGATTTGCATCCATATTCACGCATTTGTCACTTCCTGACAAGATCAGCGAGCAAAAAGGAGCAGAAGTGTTTACAATTGAAGGGTCTTTCTAACAAACCAAATGAGTTTTAGTTACAAGACCAAATGTGTTTCTAAAAGATAACCTAATCACTATTTTAATTTAATCAATCATAATCAATATTTCCCTGTGGGGGTCTTATCTCGGGTACAAATCACATTCATTTACACAAAGACAGAGGGAAATCTTTCCACAATATAAATGTCCATCACAAGGGTCATTCTGCTTTCTGATTGGATAATGGTCTTGAGAACCAAAACACCAACTATAACAGAAACAACTTTTCTATGTCATGCCCCATGTTTTAATTAAGAATAAATCAGCATCCCAGTTGTTATCAGTAAAAACTTTGATCATGATTGTTTATCTTGTATCTAGGCCTGCAGATAAGATATGTTTATAAATTTAAAACAAAACATAACTAATGTACGGTTCCTTTAAGGCTGCCACTTCTACAATTTTAGGCTCAGAATAAACATGCTGTTATTTTCCAGCCATAATGAAATCATAAATGATGTCCAAATACAACAACAGCAGAAACAAAATTCTTTTAAAATGCAAATTTGATATCTGGTGTGAATGCAAATGAGACCTGTGTCTGGGCCAGAATTTTTTATCCATAAAGTTTAATAGGTTGCAGCAATGAAATTAATATAACACGGTCTATTGAATACCTCATGATTCAGCACTTGACAACTTTTTGCTGTCGCGACTGAAATTAGGTACTTATAACTAAATGGGGGACAAAATATATTATTATTAGACAATTTTTTTTTACAGCATTCTAGTACAAGCTGCATGTTAAAGCCATGTAATAATGTTGTTACCTCATCAAAATCCTGTATTATTAGTCTGCCGCTATCTCCAAATCTCAAGATGCTTGTTCCACCTTGTGATGTCATGAAGCAGTAGTTTTCAAGTTAACAGCTCCTTTTACCTTCTGTTCAGTAGAGACGGGCAGTTCCAGGGCTGAAATGATCCAAATTATTCCAGATTATTATTATATTATATTATATTAAGGTGTATGGAATTTGAAAACATAGGGAGAAGGAAAAAGAAAAACGCAGCCTAAATATTAGGGCTGGGTATCATTATGAAGTAGCCGATACGATACATATCTCGATACATAGGCCACGATACGATACATATCTCGATACAGTGAGCTTTTGATTCGATATGACATATTTCAAAATGATTCAATATGGTTCAGTAAAAAATAATGTCTAAATCATGGCTGTGATATTAAAAGTCTTTCTTAAACCACTTCTTGTACAAAGTGAATATGAAACACGCCTCAAAGGTCAAAGGTGTCAAAGGTGTTACATAAACAATTTTCCTTCCTCTAAATAAGCAACAAAACTGTAGCACTGTAACAAAATAATTTAGTAAAATACACCAAAAAATCCTCTTGGAGATATATTGATACAGCAGCCAATGCTATTGATACTGTATCATCACATTAAATGATACGATATATCGATATTTCAATATTTTTGCACACCCCTACTAAATATGCAGGGTTTGTATGTTAAACATGTGTGAATGAGAACACAATGTATGTTTTTGATTATAAAACAGATAAGAAAATAGAGTAATATAGGCCCTTTAATGTGTCAATTGTGAAGTGTAGTTAGAGGGGTATTAACAGTCCATGTCTAAAATAAGGATCCACAATGTCAGCAGCACAATACTTTTTAAAGTTGGTTTAAATATAATATATGTTTTTTCTATATTCTACTCTGTAAAGTTGAGTATCCTGACTGTGACTGGTTGCTGGGTCTGTTCTGACCAATATGAAGGCGATCATTTGCAAAGCACTTCAAACTTCTACTTCCCCTGAAGCGAGGAGGCCATTACATGAATCTTTCTCCTCAGGCCTCCATGCTGCGCTGTGCAGTTTGGCTATAGAGCTTCATTTATGTAAATCTATTGCTCCTGTCAGGATGATTGATAGCATTTTATTACATGCTAATTCTTCTTTAGGTGCACTTTGGAGGAATAAAGCAGCTGTGAGAAAAATAACCCAAAACTCTCAAGTAATTGGATTTTGTGCGTGTGTGTGTAAAAAGTTGAAGTGCATATGACAAGGTTCCATGTTTTTCAAATTAGTATTTCGCTTGATGGGATAGTACCTGTGGTGAATATTTATTGTAGTTTTACAGTAGTTAGGGGTAGGAGTAACCCTAACCCTAAGAGGCAGTTTGTGGAGAAAAAATTTAAAAGAAAAGTACAAAAATGCAGGAAGTAGCAGTGAGTTCTACAACAAAATACCTAATCAATACACAAAATTACACAGTTAAACCTTCATTTGAGGGTTTGTCATGTATTTTTATTAGTCTAATCATAACTATTGTGTAATTTAGA